CTTAAATATGCACAATGATATTATTTTCTTTTTTAAAATACAGGATGCCAGATATCTATCTCAAATATTTGCTGGCAAAAATACAATTAAGTACACATGGTTGTTTACTAAAGAACTCTTTTTAATAGCAAACCCCAAAACACCGCAACAACAAAAAACAAGGAGAAAACAATTTGTGGATTAATAGGTCACTGGATGAATAAACTAGAATACAGACACATGATGAAGTAATACGGTAGCCATAAAGAAGGTAATACACATACACACACGAAAGCATGGACTGAACTCTATTTTTAACTGAAAATGAGAAAAATGTGTACTTTATGTAACCGTTTATATAAAAGAGGGTAAAAATGAATAATTTCATGTTTGCTTATTTTTTAAAATGGTAGGATAAATTAAGAACATTTTTAAAAATACTGGTGAAGGAAAGGAACAAAACAGAGGGAACAGAGATAAAAGCTAACCTTCTTTGAACATACCTTGTTTTCTTGATCTTGCTTTGAACTACGTATATTTTACATTAATTTTAAAGTAAAATTTATTTAAAAATTTAGAAAACCAAAATCTATAATAAAAATTAACTGAAACAAACAAATGCTTAATGGAGCATAGCCACACAGAGAGAAATTAGTCAATTTTTTTGATATGGAGCCTCACTCTGTCGCCCAGGCTGGAGTGCAGTGGCACGATCTTGTCTTACTGCAACCTCCGCCTCCCAAGTGAATCTCCTGCCTCAGCCTCCCCAGTAGCTAGGATTACAGGTGTGCTCTAGCAGGTCTGGCTAATTTTTGTATTTTTAGTAGAGGTGGGGTTTTGCCATGTTGGCCAGGCTGATCTCAAACTACTGACCTCAGGTGATCTGCATGTGTCAGCCTTCCAAAATGATGGATTACAGGCATAAGCGACCATGCCAGGCCTCAATGTTTCTTTAGAATAGAGAAATTTGACTGTTCATCCCTAATGGGATCTCATGGGTAAAATCAAGTTGTACTTAGATCTTAAATTATTTTTACCTGGTGGTGGTAGTGTTGGAATTGTTATTCTAAGATGGTTATGTAGGGTGCTAGGTAGAATAAGTTATTAATTATACTGCTATCATTGAGAAATAAAATCTTCAATGTAAGAGAAAGGAAATACAAATATAAGATTATTACAGTTAAGTAAAAATTCATCAATTTTATTTGAAAGCATCAATATGAACTCATGGTGTATTTATTTTTGGAAAAAAAGAAGATGGATTACATTGGAGAAAATTACCCATATATTTCCTAGCTCTATTCACTAAAAAGACTCAGAAACGGTAACCAATCCTGTAACAATTAGCAGCTCTAGCATCCAGACTGTGGTCTCTAAATATCACCTCCCACTCAAAGAACAAAATCTTCTTGAAGTAAAGGCTGATTCTAAGTCTGGGAAAGAAATGTGTAAGATGAACCTGGAATATTCTGTCATGTTAGAAAGCAAGAAAACTGTCAAATATTATTAAGACACACACAAGATACTTTAAAACAAACAACAAAACCCTCATTGTTACCTATGGAGGATGCTATGGAACTAATTATTATAAATTTTGGTAAATAAAGGAAAGGGATCAAATACATTTCCTGCCTTTCTTATAGAAACTGTATCTAAGGGCACAAATAGGTCACATGGGAAAAATGCCTATGAAAGTATTCCAGCTTATAAATTAAGAAGGAATAATAACAGCAGAATATCAACATTTTGTAACCTTTAATAAATTAACAGATTTAGGCAGTGACCATCAATGGCTACTAACATCAGGAAAAGAAAGATATTATGTTCTTCCTTCAGAAAGCACTCAACACTACAAATGAAGTAGTTTTGACTCCTACCAAAAATATATTTAATTATCAGTTATCTAATCATCAACTTGCAGGAAATACAGAAGGAACATACTAACTACACTACAGAAATTCAGCAAAATCCAGACCAAGAAAGTATAGGTCAAACGATCTGGTTTCCTTAGCAACAAAGTTCAAGAGAGAGAAAAAGAGAACGCACGGATTAAAAGAAACATTAGAGGCACATCAGCCGATCTTAATATATAAACCTTAACTGAATGCCAATTCAAATAAAATAAACTTAAAAAAATATAATGTTGGCCAGATGCGGTGGTTCATGCCTGTAATCCCAGCACTTTGGGAGGCCGAGGTGGGTGAATAAGTTGAGGTTAGGAGTTAGAGACCAGTCTGGCAACATGGTCAAACCCCATCGCTTAAAAAAAAAGTTTTTTAATAAAAATAAAAATAAAAAAATTATGTCACAGGCAAACATAAACTGGGTATTTAATGACAGTAATGAATTATTATTTATTTGCATAGGTATGACAATGGTATTTTAATTACTTTTTACAAAGAAGATTGTGGTCAGGAGCAGGAGCAGTGGCTCACGCCGGTAATCCCAGCACTCTGGGAAGCCGAGTGGCTCGATCACTTGATGTCAGGAGTTCAAGACCAGCCCGGTCAACAGAGTGAAACCAGGTCTCCACAAGAAACACAAAAATTACCCAGGCATGGTGGCATCCACCTGTAATCCCAGCTACTTGGTAGGCTGAGGCAGGAGAATCACTTGAACCCAAAGGGGGAAGGTTGCAGTGAGCTGAGATTGTGCCACTGCATACTCCAGCCTGGGCAGCAGAGTGAAACTTCTCAAAAATAAATAAATAAGAACATCCATATCTCCACACACACACACTCTCTCTCTCTGTAATGCTTGTATGTGAAAATAAAAATATCTAGAATTTCCTTCAAAAAAGTAAAGGGAGTGAGAGTAAAAAGTGGCATAGATAAAATAATTCTGGCTATGAACTGATAACTATGGATGTTGTCTAATGGGTACATGGAGATTCACTGTTCTATTTTTTCTTCTTTTATATATGCTTGAAATCTCCAATAATAAAAACAAAAATTCAGAATGAGTAAGGATCCTGAAATAAGTAAAATTTCTATAGACAGATATATGAACAGAAAATTATTTGACATATCTTAGGAAGTAGTGGAAAATATGTACTGCGTAACTAGAGATTAATACAGATCGTAAAGAGATAACCAAATTTGGAGAGTAGTTTCAACAGAGGTATCATTATACTCCTGTGGTTTCTGAGGAGATTCTGCCAATAAAAAAGAATATGACATTTCTAGCCTCTTAACTACTTCATAATACATATATTTTGTCTTGTTTTATAGTTACTCATGTCATTTTTTCTACTTATTAGAGGAATAAAATATTTTATTAGCTTCAGATTAATCTGCAATAATTTACCATTTCCAGGCTGAATCAAAGAGGTGGAACAAAAATCTGGTCATTTTTAATCTATTATGAGGTGCTTCTATTACTTCTACTTTATAGCATCCAAAAGTTTTCTCATATGCTAAGCTCATCTTATGGGCCAAAATACTACATTGTGGGCAGGAAAGAAATAAGTACAATTTTACCAACATGAAAGCTAAGCAGAGAATGGATCAGTGAGTTGTTTGGAAGGATATAACTTATTTTCGGCCTCAAAACTAGGTCTTCAGGAACCTAATCTAGGTTTCTTCGGCTTCATAAATGTGCCACCTCACTGTACTAGTAGTAAGAGCCACAGAATAGGCGGAACCAGATCATTATAATGTAAACTAAACAGCTCAAATATTATTCTAGACTTAGACAGTTCAAAGGAATGTACTGCTGTGTTAGTTATCTAGAATAGGACCTGCTAATCTAAAACCTGAATAAAGTACTACGGTAAATTTGTAGTAGAAAACTGTTTCTATTAGTCTCCGACTATTATCAGTTCAACTACAACCTCAACCAAGTTTTGATAAGCCCAAATAAAATTGTACTGAAATCAGAATTTCATTCCTTGTACTAAATTCATCAGGAATCCTGGACTCCTTGCCAAAGTGATCTAGCTAACAAAAGTACTTAAAGAACTTCCATTATTATTATTACTATTTTTGAGCTGATGAAAAATCTACCCAAAGAACTTCTATTATTAATGTTATTAATGCCTACCAAAAATATATTTACCAATTATCTAATTACCAACCTACAGGAAATACAGATGCCAGAGGAACATATTAACTACACTACAGAAATCCAGCAAAATCCAAACCAAGAAAGTACAGGTCAAATGATCTGGTTTCCTTAGCAACAAAGTTCACAACAGAGAAAAAGAAAACCCATGGATTAAAAGAAACATTAGAGGCACATCAGCCAATAAAAGATAATTCTTTTATTATTGTGAAGCTTAAATTTTTAACAATTAAGACTTCCAAAACTCTAACCATAAGACTATTTAGAGTCAATGCCATTTTATTTTCTAAAGTCATTTCCATAAAGGGTTAAATTTAAAAACTGTATTTAGATATCTGAACTTTCAAACAACTACTAGTTTTCACAACATCACAGTTAATAAAATAATCTGTTACTAATAATTAACTAAAACTTTAATAAAAATTATGCAAAATACCTAGCTATTCCGACATGAGTTCTAGCAAATAAACAAGATGGCATTGATATTAGATACCAAAAAGTAAATAATGCCCAGTACATATTTAAAACCACCAAAAGTTTAAGCTGCAACTACAGAGATCAACAAATATAAAAATGGCATTTATAAACAAATAAATTTGAACATATTTATATTTTACAATTTTATATGATATGTTCCTATTTTGGTCTGTGGCACAATAAAGGTATCAGAAATTAAATAAAAATGTACTGTGGCTAGCAGAAGTAACATCTACAAATGTCTGTGAAAAATATTCATTGCAATTCACCGGAATATCTTTAATATCTGAGTTATGAAACTTTAAAAGGTCCACACTTCACGTTTTAAAACTGTACAAGGATTTAACGAAGTTCCAACAGTACCTACCCTACAGTTTTTCTCCCTGAGTATTAAATACAAAAATATGGTTAAAACATACAAGAGGCTCTCCCTTGTTCATAAAAAATGTTTTCTAAAATAAAAAATTGCTGTTTTTACATACCTTGACATAAATCACAGGGAGCGTCTGTTTGGCTCGACTATAGTGTCTGGCAACTCTGTATACTGTTTCCGGAACATAGTCCAGCACCAGATTAAGATAGACCTCATCTTTCTGAAAGAGTTTATTGAAAAAAAATCAAAATACAAAACAGATTAGAAACTGGTCTTTAAATATTCAAATTAGAGTAAAGTCTCTATACATTTACTTATGCAGATTTTTAAAGCATAATGTGCCTATTTTAATTATATAAAATTTCTTCAGAATATAACCATAATCATAAAAACAAATCAACCACACCTTTTTACTAATAATCCACTGACTACTCATTTCAATATTGTTAAGATTCCCAATTAACCTTTAAATGATTATTTTGGTTACCACGATTTCAGAGGCTATCACCTATCATAAAATTTAGTATTTTCTAGGCTGATAATGTCCTCATATCCTATTAAGAAAAGTATCATCGTAGCAGGGAGAATATTAAATTTGAAACTAAGAAACATGGATTTCTAGCCCTAGCTCTGTTAGTTGGTGTGTGCAAGTCACTTGCATCTCTAGGCTTCAGTTTCTCCAACTACAACATGAAAAATCAGACTAGACAGTCCAAAATGTCTCTAACTTCCATACACAAAAAAAGATCTTACAGTTACCTGATAGTATATAATTGATAGAAAAACCACTTGTCTGCTATAATTAACTAAAATTTTAAAAAATAATCTATAAGGCAACATGTTACCATACTCACAAGCTTATTACAGGTCTTATGTTTAAATATCCATGCTCAGCAGCATAAAGACATAAACCCAAGATCAGTGGAGAAAAAGAAAGGCATTCTAACTAAACACTAAGCAGGAAAGAGGAGTAGGGTACTCCCCTTACCCTGTTCATGTGACCAATATCAAGAAAACTGAAGCAGAAAACAAAGTTGAGAACCACTATGTTCAAGCAAATTGGTTACTCAGTGGGAAACACTGCGGATAAACAAACTTTCACAATCTCCCAATTTGAAATAATCTTACCTACCAAACTGAAGTCAAGAATTTCAATTTTCAGCATTTATTGAGCATTTTCCATATATCAATGGCCACAGCAGAGGATGTAAAAGTATAAAAGAGATGACATCTAAGAGTACAAATGGAGCATTTCAGGCAAGGAAAGAAAATTATATTCAAAATGTAAGGTCGTGTAAGAGTATAGCAGAGATCAGGAAATACTGAAACATCACGCCATTGACTCTACTACCTTTTCACTACACTTCACACACTTATGTTCCCCTCTCTTCCCTCCTTAGCCAGCTTAAATTCCATGATCCATCATTATCCTCTCTAACACAAGAGTCAACCAACAATAGAAATGGTCTTCTGCCTGTTTTTAAAATTAAACTTTTAATGGAACAGAGCTATGCCCATTCAGTTTATATATTGTCTATGGCTGCTTTTGGACTACAGTGACAGAACTGAGTAGTTGTGCCAGACACTAGGTAGCCCAGAAAGCCAAAAATATTTAAGAAAAAGCTTGTGGTTTTTCTACAACCCTAGTTGAATTCAGCTTTCTGCCCAGTCATGCCTATGACCAAAGAGCTAAACATGGCTGCAAAGAAACCTCTAATTGTGCTGATTGGTCTCATGTTAACATCATCATCAAAATTCAATTTGTTGTCCAGGTGTGATTACACCTGTAATCCCAGCATTTTGGGAGGCTGAGGTGGGCAGATCACTTGAGCTCATGAGTTTGAGACCAGCCTGGGCAACATGGCAAAACACCATCTCTACAAAAAATATAAAAATTAGCCTGGTGTGGTGGCGTGCACCTGTAGTGCCAGTTACTTGGGAGAAGGTGGGAGAATGGCTTGAGCCTGGGAGGCAAAGGTTGCAACAAGCTAAGATCATGGCATCACTCCAGTCTGGCTGACAGAGCCATATCTTGTCTCAAAAAAAAAAAAAAGTCAATTTGTCCAGCAATATAAGGAATGGACTTTCCTGGTCCATTCACTTTTCTAGACCAGTTAATTTCCCCTTTTCTCCTCTTTAGCCTCTAACAGCCCTTCTCTGCCCTCAGCCTCAACACATGACCTTGCTTGCATTACTGCATGCACTCTCCCACCAGTATCTATCTCCATATACTCTTACTTTACTTCTATAACTAGAAGACAAGCTAACCCAGCTCCTTCTTAAGGCAAACACTGCTACATGTTAAAACAAAAACTGTTGTGTACTATTTCTCCTACTCAAGGTCATTGCTCCAGAAATTTTTGTCTCTTTCTACATTAATTATTCCATGTAGAAACATTACAATCAGCACATAAGCTTGCTATTATTTCTCCCTCTTTAAAAAAAAAAAAACAAAAAACTATTGCTAACCACACTAATTACTACCATATTTTTGCCTCCTCTCCTTAAGCTGACTTTTCTCCAATTCCTCTCTCCTCCTATTCTAAAACTTTCCTCAACAGAATTTCACTACTATTATGCCAAAATTATTCCAGATCAACAGTATCCTTGTTGCTAAATCCAAAGCCAACTTTCAGTCATCATCTTACCCTGCTCATCTATTTGACTTAGCACTACCATTGGAACAGTCGATCATGTTTCTTTCACTGAAGCACCTTCTTCACGTCACAGGACACTGTACTTTTATGGTTTTCATCCTACCCTATAAATAACTCTTCTTTTCTCCATTTCTGCTTCCTCCTATTCACCTTGATCTCTTAAAAACTGGAAGATCCAGCTGGGCACAGTGGCTCACACCTGTAATCCCAGCATTTTTGGAGGCTGAGGTGGGCGTACCACAAGGTCAGGAATTTGAGATCAGCCTGGCCAATATGGTGAAACCCTTTCTCTACTAAAAGTACAAAAATTAGCTGGGCATGGTGGTGGGTGCCTCTGGTCCCAGGTACTCAGGAGGCTGAGGCAGGAGAATCCCTTAAACCTAGGAGGCGGAGGTAGTAGAGAGCCGAGATTGTACTACTGCTCTCCAGCCTAGATGACAGAGCAAGACCCAGTCTAAAAAATAAAAATAAAAAAAATTAAAAATTAAAAAATCAGAAGATCCCTGGATTTAGTCCTCAGACCTTTTCTGCTCTTTAAAATCACTCCTCCTTGATAATCTCATCCAGTCTAATGGCTCAATACTACTATACACTGATTATATATAAGTAAATACACATATACTAGACTTCTGCCCTTAACTCTACACTAGTATATCCAACTGTGTATTTGATATTGCTCAGGCTAAAAACTTTATAATCACCCTTAACTCCCAGCCTCTTCTCTCTTACACTTACACACACACACATATACCCACACATCCTCATATCTCTATGGCAGACAATACGAATGGTTCCACCTTTACAAATTTATCCAGATCAAACCACTTATCATTTTCACCGCTAGAACCCCTGTCTAAGCCACTGTCATCTCTAACCTGGATTGCTCTAATATCCTCCTAAACGGTTTACCTACTTCTATCCTTATTCCTTTCCAATTTACTACCAACTAAAATCAAGTTAAGCTAGACTGTATCTCTTCTACTCCACCTCATTGGTCTATAATGTACTACACACCCATCTCATTATTTTTGTCCTCTATTCTACTCCACTGCTCTCCTCACTGCTACTCTTCTCTAGTCAAGCTAGCCCCTGGCTGTTTCCTGAACACCTATGGTACATTTTTACATTCAGGAATTCTGAACTTCAATGCTTCTAGTCCTTCAACCTAGAATGCTCTCCCCTAAGATACGCTCAAAGCTCATTTGTCTCAACTCCTTCAAAATGTTTGGTTAAAGTGGTACCTTCTTAGTTGGCTTTCCTTAATCATTCCATTTAAAATTATAACCCATTCCTCCACCTCCACATCCCCCATCTGCCTTCCCCACTTTATAAATGAAACTTACCACTTTCTAACCACATAGTTTATTTGATAGTATCTGCTTACCCTGACTAGACAAGGCTCCATGAGGGCAAAGGTTTCTGTCTGTTTTGTTCACTGCTCTATTTCCATGTAGAATAGTGCCTAGCACACAGTAGGTACACAGTAAATATTCACTGACTAAATTAAGTTCAGGGGCAATGGGCATTTCTTTAAAACTTAGTATTACATATTTTACAATCCATATATATATAAATCATGTTGTACACTGTAAATATATATATTTTATTTTTCAATTATATCAATAAAGCTTCAAGAAAAAAAGATTACAAACTGACAGGTCTGTTTTAACTCAAACAGTATTATGGAAAATGGGTATGGAGAGGAGACTTGGTAAGATGAGAATAAAAGCAGGGTAAGCAGCTGGAAACCTTCTACAAGAGTCCAAAGCTTGGATCAGGGAATAAGGCAATAGGGATATTTTTTAAAGCAGGAGAAAAGTAGTGTAGAATATACTGGCTAGATGAACATTAGAGTAATAGGGAATCCAAGAAACAAAGAGATTTTGATTAATTTAACTGTTTTTAAGCTTGGGCAACTAGGTACATGATGAGACAGACAAATCAAAGAGTAGAAAGGTTTGAAGGAAAAATTATTTGAACTTTTACTTAATGAATCTCAGAACACTTTGGGTAGCTATAGTACACAGGTGGTTACAAACACAGGTGAAGACAAAACTCAGGAAGCAAGAACAAAGTACAGCTTGAGATTCAAGCAATAGCTGAAGCCATGAGAATAGACTTGTTCACCTAAGAAGAACATGCAAAGTAGGAGAGTAAGGAAAGGACTGAGTATGGAATCCTGAAAAACACTAAATTTAAGAAACAGATAAAAGGAAACTCAGCAAACATGAAGAAATAAACTAAGAGGCACAAGAAAGCAAAGAAAGATTAGCATCAAGGATCCAAAGCTGAAATTTCTATAAGGGTGAGATATGAAGCATTTCAGTAGCAGATGAGATGAGGATTAAAAAGGGGTTATTCGAGTATATCCAATATCTTGCTATATCTTGGTTCAGTGATGCTCTTGGAAAAAGAGTTTTCAGATCATACTGTCAGTAGCAACTAAGCTTTATTGGGTTCACAAGTGTGCAACCTTGCAGGAGAGGAACAGGAGGCAGTTAATTCAGTTTATTCTCACAAAGTCTCTAGTGATGAAAGGAAAGAACTGGGAGTTGGTAATTCA